TGAGGGTGAAACACTATTTCACTCAATCATTGTGTCCCTGGCATCTAGCACCTGCAGGCCCCTCCATAAAGATTGATGGAGAACATAAGTACCTGAGTGAAGCAGAGAAGAAACTATGCCTCTACTTCTTAAAGCCACTTTCTTCCCTGGCTTCCTAGTTCTCTTTCATTTTTCTTGCTGATTGTCATCTACTTCCTGTTTTTGTTTTATTTTTCATTCACTGGCCCTTCTTCCTCAACCCACATCTGACATAGCAAGATGGCCCTGCAGTCTGCCCTCAGCCCTCTTCCCACCACACACCTCCCTGGTGACCTCAATGCATGTGGCTTCCACCTTCTCCCATCTGCAGAGGGCTTCCAAGCCCACATCTTCAACTCCCACCTTTCACATGAGTTCCAGACCTATCTTGCATCTGCTTTTGGTAAAGCGCCTGGGGAGAGCTAGATTCTAATGCTGGAGGCTGCAGGAATGGGTATAGGTCCCTGTTCAACCACCGTCTCTTCAAAATACTTCATTTTGTTTTTCTGCATTGGTGAACTCGGGTTGTTGATGGCATTCAATTTGTAAGGTTGTTTTGAGGATTTGATGAAACAGTGTATATATAAAGCTTTGTGTGCAGTGCCTGGCTGGCAAAGAGTAAGTGCTCAATAATTGTAGGATACTATTACTAGATATTTCCATCGGAGGGTCTTATGGCCTCCTGAACTATCCAAACCCAAATGTAGGCTCAGCCCTCTCCTACCTCTGTCTGTTTCTAAACCTCCTGACCTCCAAGGTAATTCTGGAATCAGTGGGACCTTGACTGAGCCAGGTGTATCGTGGGCCTGGGAAAGACCTTTAGCAGACCTTTGTTATGTCCATAGCCTTCCGTATCTCTTGGCCAGATGGTTACATCTGCCTACCTCTCCTCCAGACTCGCTCTCTAACACAAACTCTTGTGTGGTCTGCTCCTGCAGAAGTACTTTTGTAAAATGCCAAGCAAATCTGGTCTTTCCCCATCACCCTTCCACGCCTGCCTCAGAGATCTTCCAATGACAGGACAAAGCCCAGAACCCTTCATGTGGCAAGTCACAGCTTTCAGATTTGGTCTTTGGACCCTGAACTCATTTTTCCCTAGTGTTTCTGCTTCTTATCTTTGATACTTGCTGTTTCTCCTTTTTGAAGTGCCCTTCCCTCTTCCCCTGACCCCTCGCAGAGCTTGTTGTGTCTGCAGTCCACTGTCTACACAAAGCCCTAACCTACTCTAATGGTTATTTACTCCCGCGTGCTTCTCATTCTCCATCCCGCTTCCAAAGCTGGTGAACTCAGTGATAGTAGACAACTTCTTTTTCTTTTTTAAATGTAACTTTATCATTGCAACTGCCAATCCTGGGACTTAACATGTAATAGGACTCAATGATTTATGAGGGAATGAACCTGGAGAGACTAGGCTTTGGAGATAAGAGTTCCAAAGAGTTCATGTCTTTGTTCTATTTATCTTAGTAGAATAATGTGACCTTCTTATGGCTTGAATATCCTGTGCAGTGCTTTGTGTAAGAAGCTGGGGCATGTTGTGACAGGTCTTTGGGAACAGGAGAATTGTGACATAGTATATTGTATTCTGTGATTTAAGTTGTGTATGCAAACACATTTGACAAACATTCCTCTGGGTGCCCATTATGCACAGGCCCTGGGCAAAGCATTAAGAGCAGATCATAATGACACTACAATCCTGCTTCTAATTTAACTGTGTCTTTCCTTTATGCTAAACTCTGTGCCTGGAGGGATTAACCACCTCCTAAATATCAGGAAATGGAGGCTTCTATCTAAAGGAATTAAGCTAATGAAAGGAATCCAGATTTGAACCAAGCCCTGCCCTGTCCCTAAATGCCTGACACCTTGCCTTGCTGCAAACCACCTCATGGCTTCTGATTATTGAACACCTCCTGTCTCTGAGGAGCTAGGCATGTGTTGATTCCATTTAGTTCTTCTAACACTCAGCAAGGCCTTATTGTCCCCATGTGGAAGAGAGAAAATGGGCTCAAGAGGATCACAGAGAACTGTGGCAGGTGGCAGAGCTGTGATTCTTGGGGTCTCCTTTGACTCCCCAGCTCATTCTCTATCCTCTTTGCAAATGGCATGGTCTAGCCAGAGGGCAAGAGTCTTGTAAGCAGGCCACTGAAGTTCAGTGTCATTGTGATGCATACCACAGCCTAGGCTGGTGCAGCGAGGAAGAACTGACAGAGCTGCACAGGTGGTGGGGTGCAGAATCCTGATCAGGTCAATAATGTGTCGTTAAATCGTTCCTTCATCAGCGTTTGGGCCTTCAGTTTTCAGGATACTAGTAACAATAGATGCAGACACAAGAAAGAAAGGCAGGCTCATTTTTAGGAAGAACTCAGTCTGTTAGAGAGGAGAGGATGGAAGGACACGATGAAGAGAAGGAATGACAACAGGAGGAAGTAGGGCTGCAAGAGCTAGTTGCCAGGCACAGAAATTAACCCAAAAGCCCCTCAGTTACCCACCCATTTCATGCCCATTCATCACCAGTCCCATGAGGCCTTCCGGGGTCTGTCCTGCCAACCTCTCTGACCTATTCTTTTGCCACACTCACCTACTCATAGTCCTCCAGGTTGTCTATGTGTTCCTGCCTCAGGGCCTTTGGCCTTGCTGTGCCCATCGCCTGGCATGCTCTTTCCCTTTTGCTTCACATCCGTGAATCAAGTGTCCCCTCCTCACAGAGCTCTTCCCTGGTTGTCCTCCCCATTTACTCTTTGTCACACCAGCCATTCCCTGCCAAAGACTGGTTAAAACAAAAATGTCAGTGTAAGTCAGTAGTTAGGAGCATGCGCTCTGGAACCAGGGTTCCGCTCTCAGCTCTGACAGCTCATAGCAGGAGAGCCTCGGGCAAGCTTCTTAACCTCTCTGTGCCTCAGTGTTCTCATCTGAAAATTGGAATGATAATAATAGCATAAGGTACGATTGCAGGGATTAACTGAGATTCGATGAGTAAAGCACTAGTAGTGCCTGGTCTGTGGGGGTGTGTATGAAAATCAAGGAGTGAGTCATCTAATTTTCACTCATCCATCCAACGCATGCCGAGTTTGAATATATAGACAGGACAGAATGCAGGACTGAGCATACAGGGATAGACAAGTAGTCTCTGTCCTAGAGGGGGCTTCATCCTGCCCAGACCATTTCCCTTGTTGGTACAGATAATGAATTTCATTGCTAAACTTCTGCCTAGAGCTACCATTTATCTTCATTCTGGTTACATCCTCCATCTGCTTTGCTTCCTGTTCTGGGATTTGTGGTGCCAATGCTGGGTCATGACCTGAGTGACACATAAATCTATACAGTTTTGCACCCATGTGATTTATTTATTGCTTATAATTTTACTTCTTCTTTTTAGTAGTATATTCAATTAGATATTTGGCTAATGGTGAAAGGTCAACTCTCACAAAAGAATGACCAAAGCAGAATAATAGCTAAAAGGCTCTCATCCCCCCTCCCTGTCTTCTGTTTTCATTGCTTCGAAAGTTCCATAGATACTGGACCTACTACCTCTTCTCCAAGTCTGCCTCATTTCTTCTTGAGCTGGTTTTCACTTCCTCTCAGAAGCCTTCCCTGATTTTCTGAGATGGTGGGCTCTGTAGACCTCGCACTCACTATGTAGTGAGACTTACTGTTCCACTGCAGGGGAGCTAGGGGAGCTATCTACTTGCCCTCTCTCTGGTCAACCGGTGCCTCTTTTTGTCTTATTCTTCAATGTATCTTCAATGCAGACACTTTTTTGTTGTTGTTGTTAAGAATTAGTGTTCTCACCATTTGACCCAGTTATCCCACTCCTCAGTATATACCCAAAGGACTTAAAATCAGCATACTATAGTGATGAAGCCACATCAATGTTTATAGCAGCTCAGTAGGTGCCCTTCAATGGGGGAATGGATAAAGAAAATGGAATATTACTCAACCATAAAGAAGAATGAAATTATGACATTTGCCAGCAAAAGGATGGACTTGGAGGCTATCATGCTAAGTGAAATAAGTTAATCTCCCCCCAAACCAAAGGCTGAATGTTCTCTCTGATGCTAACACACAATAAGGGTAGGAGAGAAAAGATAGAAGTACTTTGGATTAGACAAAGGGGAATGAAGGGAAGGGAGGGGATTTGAGAACAGGGAAGACAGTGGAACAAATCGGACATAACTTTCCTATGTTCATATATGAATACATTTCCAGTGAAACTCCAATCAGGTATCATACATACATGGAGGATAATTCCACAAGAATGTGAATTATCCTCCATGTATGTATGATATGCCAAAATATACTGCACTCTCATGTACATATAAAAAGAACAAATAAAAAAAGGTTAATTATAAAGTAAGAATTAGTGTTCTCTTTGCAGGTATAATAAAAATTGAATTTACGTAGAGGACAAGAGCCATTAAAGGAGATAAATTAGCAATTTGCACTGTGCTACAGAAAGCATGTTCATTTTATAAGGGGACTTTTTGCAGAATCCACTGAGTAGGATGATGCTATAAAAACAACCTCAAATCTTAGTGGTTTCACACATAACACACAAAACGACTTTCTTGATTATGTAGTAGTTTGGTGCAAGTGCTCAGTCAGAAGCCTTACAAATCTTGAGAATCCACCATCCCTGATGCCCTTGGGTTCTCTGCTGGCCCTTTTCTGCGTTTGACTGGCCAATGGGAATGAGAGAAGAAGATTGCTCAGGAGGTTTTCTTCTTGGCCATGCCTGATCATGGCGCACATCACTTCCCAGACCACTAACTGAACTCAGTCTCAGGGCCACACACACTCCTGGGACTCTGGGGCAAATGGTCCCACTGTGTGTCCAGTGGGGGGAAGGGGAACAGGTTTTGGTGCCTGTCCAGCAGTGTCTGCCGCAGCAAGCATTTCAGAGCCCCTGGATCAAGAGACCCTTGTCTGTCTGCAGCACGTTCCAGAGTAAAGGAATCACACTGATTACTGCTGTTTTGACTTCACAGACAAACTCATGTGATCAGAATCTAAATTACTGCCTTGAAATCATTGAACAAGTTGCCAGAGTGCAGGGACAGCTCTTTGGAATCCTCACTATTGCAGCCCAAGAAGGTGAGAAAGGCCCATACTTTCCCGTCCCCCTCTTTCTTCTAGTCCCTTTCCATTGTTGCTGTTTGCTGACTGAACTGGTGTGCACTTCGCTTTCTCTCTCTGACCTTGTGCATGTTTTCTTAGGAGGACATAATGATGGTGTGGAAACAATCAAGTCTCGCCTTTTGCCTTGGCTGGAGGCTTCTTTTACTGCTGCTTCCATGGGAAAACCTGTTGACAGCAGGGTCCCCTCTCTACAGGTAGGAATGCTAAAGAATGACCCTTGACTTCCTGAAACAATGCCATACAACGGAAATTTCTGAGATAATGAGAAAACTTAAGAAAAGAGTGTCATAATTCGGGATTACTGGTTTCCATGGGAGAGTGTCAATTCCAACAGCTGGAGACCAGACTAGAATAGAATATGGGCCTTGCTTCATGCATCAATATCATTATGTCTGGGTAAATACAACACCAGTATATGAGTTTGTTTTCCAGGACCACAACACAATACCTGAGATTAGATAAAATATAAATAAAAGAGTTTGATTTAGCTCCTAAGTTCTGAAGGCTGAAAGTCCAAATAGCACAATGCTGACTCTAGAGGGACCTCCTGGAGGGGACATATGGCAGGAGCATATGTGGGAGACAGAGATCAAATAGAGACAGGAGTCCAGCATGTGAAGAAGCAGGTCAGGATTGCTCTTCTATAGCAACCATTTCCAAGAACTACATCAGTTCCTTCCGATGACAGTGCTCAATGACCTAAAAGCCATTTAAGTTTCCACACCCCCTCTCACCTTGCCGTACTGGGGACCAGCCTTCCAACACACACACCATATTCAAACCACAGTGATCACCAGCTTTACTTTTAAATGTTTAAATGGATAAACACGAATCCCTTTCTAAAACTGAAGCCTTTAGAGCAGACTGTTTTAATGCAGGGGTCTTAACTAGACAGAATCCCTGCTTGGAGATCTAGGGCCAGGAAATCTGTCCTGCTCCCATGGCCCTTGGTAGGGTCTGAACATTTATGTCTCAGTTTCCTTCTTTGACTGAATTAGGACACTGATTTTACTGACCTAATAATGGGGTCATTGTGAGAATGAAATGTCAATAAACATGAAAAAACCCTTGCAGAGGTGTGGTGTGTGGTTAAGACTTTAATAGCTATCAGTTGTCATCACTCAGTAATTTTTCTCCCTGAGATTTTTAAATGCTTCTCAAATTTTTACTCCCTATGGGTATTACATCCTAGGTTGTAGAGACATCGGATGATGCTTTAAAAGATTTTTTAATCTATTTTTTGTAAATCAAAGTGTAATTTATGTACAGTGAAATCCCAGGTCAGTGAGTTTTGACAAATCCCTTACTGAGAGATGAAGCATTTCCATCACTCCAGAGTGTTTCTTGTGCCACTCCAGGGCTACCACTCTTCTGGTTTCTATGACTCCAGATCAGTTTTGTCTGCTCTAGAACTTGATGCAAATGGAAGCACACATTATGTGTTCTTCTGTGTCTTGACTTTTTTTTTTTTTTTTGTTCAGCGCAGTGTTTTGCAATCCATGTCATTTTGTGTATTCAGACTAATTTTTATTTTATTTTGTTATCTTTTCAGGACACATTTGAAAGGGAGAGACTTAAAGGGAGTAGTCCTCGGGACCTTAAAGGGAGGAGTAGTCCCCGGGACCTTAAAGCGAGTAGTCCTCGAGACCTTAGAGCAAGTAGTCCTCGGGACCTACAACAACTAGACTCTGACTTGAACTCAACCCGTAACCAACTCAACCAGGTTAAAGACGAGTAAGAGGAATGCAAGTTATCTTTCTTCAAAAAGAATTGTTTTCAATTTAACTCTGTTTAAATTTGAAGGAGAATAATGGCTCATGTGAAATGTGGGCATTTGTAAATAAGTAACATGATTTGTGCAAGTTGGGAGTCAATGTCTGAGTTTGGGGACAAGATACCAATCTGGTCTGTGATCCCTGGTCCCTCACCTCCATCTGCTGAGCTATTCCTCCTCTGCAGGTCCAGCATCAGCTCAGAGTTATAAATAAGTAAAGATTGTAGATGAAAAATCTATCCTTAGGAGGAAAGATTTTTTTGAAAAAGATATAGAAGGGGAAGAGTTAAAGAGGTTGAAAAATCAGCTAATGAGGAAAAACAAGAGAATAAAAGACAAAGCAGCTATACTAATGTTCTTTTCAGGGCCTATTGATGCCTGATGGGAGAGAGTTAGAGTTTTAAAAAATAAGATTTTTGAAACAATTCTTAGGTATAATAATATATTTTAAAAAGTTAATGGCAGGCAACAACAGATGTCAGAGGCAGGCTCTGGGCAGTCAGGGTAGCAAGCACAGGGAATCACTGCAAAGAAAATTGCAAGTTTGGATTTGTTCTTGAGGAAGATAGACAAATATGCATGAAATTGCCTTTGACAGAACTTAACAAAAGTCTGTTAATAAGGTCTTTCCACTCCCACAGTATCGCTCCATTGCTTCCGGGAAGGGAAAGGAAGTCTGTTTTAACCAATTAAGTCTGTGATGAAATAGTTGTAGCCCTCTGCGTTTTTCTCATGAGATGTCCAGTCTTCTCTCCCAAATGAAGATATCCCTACTGATTTAGTTTTACTTGATTATAAAAGTAGTACTAATTTCCTCATCAAATGTATACAAGTACCAAAAATGTAAAGATGAAAATAACTGTTACCTCACCTGTGTCAACATGTTGGTATATTTGGCTCCAGACATTTTTCTACGTACTTAATGCCTCTACATGCACCTGTGCATTTTTCCACTTGGAATCATAGTCAGCGAGCAGGAGTACAACTGCAGAAGTCAAACTGTACAGCTGAGCTGTAACATGCAGGGAACATGATTTCTCTGAATCTCTATTTATTTCAACCCATGTCAGCTGATCTTTATATTTGCCTCATCTAGGTCTTTCCTGGTTAAGCATAGTCACTTTTGTGAAAACTTCAGTTAATAGTGAGAACTTCTATTCAGAGGTAGTTCTCCCCCCCCGCATGGAGCTTCCCCTCCCCTTATCCTTCCTTAGATTGGCATCTAGGGAAAGGATGCTTAGATAGTCACCTGGTGCTACAGATAACATCTTTTGCTCCTGTACTGTATTCTCAGCCTTAGTGGACTTGGCACTAGTGTCTTGTGCTGAGGGGTCCTGAGTTGTGCTTTGTCTGCTTAGGTTTCCAGGAATAAGAGCCCCTCTAGTATTGAAGCCCCTCTAGTTGTGAAGCAGGATTTCAATACTTCGCTGGTTCTTTTTTATTTTTGGTACTGGGATTGAACCCAGGGGTGATTAACCTCTGAGCTATCCTCAGTCCTTTTGTCATATTTTATTTAGAGATAGGGTCTCACTGAGTTGCTTATGGTCTCGCTAAATTGCTGGCTTTGAACTTGTGATCTATTTGCCTTAGCCTCCTGAGCCGCTGGGATTTCAGGTGTGGACCACTGTGCTCAACCCACCTGTAGTTCTTATTCTATGTTTTTACTTAAGGTTAACCCAAATGTAAGTCTGTTCCCAAAATTATATGGTAAGCGGCTCCCTCTTCCCTCTCTGATTCTGGCTTCCTTTTCTTCAGTTCCCCAGATGGCCCTTTGCAAGCAGTGTGTCCCAGAGCTGTCTTCTCAAACAGAAGTCTTTGCTGGGTGGGGTCTTACTAACTCCTGAGATGCCCTCAAGCCATCTTTACTGTTGTCCTGATACAAAATACTTGGTGTCTTCTGTTTCTCCTCCTCCTCCTCCTCTTCCTTCTTATTCTGAGATGGGTGTCTCTCTGTATTGCCCAGGATAGCCTCACTTATTATTCTCCTGCCTCAGAATCCCAAGTAGCTGGGATTACAAGGATGGGCTACTGCACCCAGATTCTTTTCTCAAAGGCATTAATCTCTTTGGCAACCATACTCTTGTTGGATGCAACTTTAAATGTGCTTTATTTTGGGACAAACTCCAAGTTTTATATCTTTCCACACTGATTTTTGCTTTTGAATTCTCCCTGTGAATCTGGCTAAAAGCAGCCAGCCATACCCCTACCACTGCCTATATGCTGTGTTGCCTTGAAATTTCCTGCACCACATTAATTAATCCATCACCTTTAAACTCAACTTCCCATAAAGTCTCAGCATGAGCAAAGTGTAGACAAATTCTTTGCCAGAACTGAAATACCCTAGAGTCCTCATTTCCATCTGAAACTTCATGAGCGTAGTCTTTACTCTTCACATTCCTATCAGCATTGTTGTTTTGAGCTTCCACCAGAATCATTCATGAAGTTCTCTTTATGGCATTCTAAGCTTTTTCCAGTCTGCTTCTCCAAATTGATCCAAACTCCTCCTGCAAATGAATTCCAAAGGCCCCTCAACCACACAGTCATGTTTAATCATAGCAACCGCCTCACTTCTCAGTAGCAATTTTCCATTTTAGTCAGATTTCCATCTCTCTGACAAAATATCTGATGTAAACAACTTAAAGAAGGAAAGATTTATTTTGGTTCATGGTTTCAATCCTTGGCCACTTTGCCCTTGTCCTTTTGGACTTGTGGTGAGGCTGAATATCATGGCAGGGAACATGGGAAGCAGAGCTGCTCACATTATGGCAGTCAGGAAGCAAAAAAAGAGAGAGAGGGAGAAAAGGGATATAATCTTCACTGCTCCAATGACCTGTTTCCTCCAACTAGGCCCAACTTCCCCATCATCTAGGGACCAAGACATCAACACACAAGCTTTGGCGGGGACATTTAAGATCCAAACCACAGCAGAATCCCAGGTCTCATTTCCTACTCTTCTTTCACCTGTGTTTTCTTAGCCTCAGGATTACTGTGATGAAAGAGTTTGCCTGTTCCAGGGAGGCAGATCAGAGAAGTCAGGGACCCATGATATCTCATGGTTCCCAGGGCAACTTCACTGAGAACCACTGATCTTTGTCCATGGTCATCCATCCCACTTCCACTCATTTTTAAATTTAGATAGGCCTAAAAAAAAGAGAGTGTATTACTATGATTTGCTTACAATGAAGAGAATCCTTGAAACTAACAACAAAAACTCAGGAAAATTGTGCACAATAAGTGGCAGACATCAGAAGCAGAAAGACCTGAAATACTTGTAGACTGATGTGATTGTGGAGGACTTTTGTAGTGGGCAATCAGCTTTTCATATTATGAAGTTTGGGAAAAATAAGGCAAATGCAGCTCTACAGTGCAAAGCAACAGGAATAGGTATTGGTATATTGAAGAAAAATGGAGATTTTATAGAGAGACAACCTGGGGATTGGGTATAAATAGAGTAGATGAATTAGGAAGAGGCGAAGGAGGAATTGAATGAGTTCCTTCATCCTTTACGTTTTAACATTAATAGTTATCACACAGTCTTTAAAGTAGCTCTGACCTTCCTTTGTGTTTGACCTTGAGCTAAGGGTGCTGGCATGTTTTTGTGTCCATGTCCACCATAATATCTGCAATATTATCTGATTGAGTGCAGATGTCTTATAATTTGATTTTGTTTTCATTGAATTTATATCATATGACAAAGGTCTCCAAGAGAACCTAGGCCTTGATTTGGAAAGTCTGCTGATTTTAGAAAATCTGTCTTTAGTTACTGATTTCTCTTACAGTCTTGCTGAAACGGGAAAGTCTCTCGAAGAAACCAAGAACAGATCTGCCATATCCCTTTTGGCTGCAGAGGAGGAAATAAATCAGCTAAAAAAGCAGTAAGAAAAATGATAGGATTATTGCAGCCTGCCAATTAATCATTGACTCAAGTTTTTTTTGATGCTCTATTACAGTATGAAAAAATATTATTCATAATTAGAGAGAAAAGGCAGCAACATTTTTAGTAATGTTTGATATATTTTTCTTATTACAAAAATGTTACCTAAGGCTCAGTGGTAGAGTGCTCACTTAGGATGCTTGTGGGTCCTGGGTTCAATCCCAATACCACAAAAAGAAAACAAAAATATTACTTATGTGATATAGGCTAAAGTCTCTGAAGTACAACATAATATGAAGACATCTAAAAACCCTCTCATAATCCTAGTGCCAGTAACTGTCCATTTGATGTTCCTTATGATTAACAGTGCAGAATACAGAATAAAGTATATAAGTATATATTTTTGATCCCATTGTTTTCCTCTATCACCATGAAAAAATGATTGCAGAACTTAGTTTCAAATACATTCATCATTTCCATCATTTGGATATTTCCTTCATGTTGAATATTAACTTAGATGCGGATTTTCAACATTGGAAAACAATACTGGGATAATTTTGTGGAAAATCTGAGCTTAAATTTCATATTATTACCTAAAGATCAATTTCTAGAAGGGAACAAATCAACATGCGGATCCTTTAAGGTTATATGTTTCTTGGTGTTAGTTTTGATTTCCAAGTGAGAAGTGTTTTAATCACTTACACTCACAGACACACACTCAAACTCACACTTTCTGATGGTTTTCACATTCTAGTTGTTCTCCTTTCTTCAGGAACACACATATCTCTTAGTTTAGAAGCTGTTCTGTTTTCCACTTCTAGCTTCTCCCTCATCATCATTTTAATCTCTTATTTCCTATTTGGTACACGTTCGCAAGTTCATTGATCATATTGCTCATTCGTCTCCATAGTTCTGAATCTGTTGTCTGCTGTTTCTGGTGTAGCTTTTAACCCTATTATCTTTATTCACTTCTCCTTCATCCTTCTGAATCTTACTTCTCACCTTCTCATCTTGCACTATTGTCATGATCATCACGGCATGTTCTTCTATGGCTTTTGCTTCTGTTTTGTGGAAGCCACATCTCTTTGGCTCTTCAGGAGGGTGCCAGTTTTATTTCGAAAGACTTTTTGTTGGTTTGTTTCCGTACTCCATTATTTTCATAGTTTTGTACTTCTAGATAGTCTTGTGAATACCATTCAATTTCCACTGAAGTCCACCCCTCCAACTCTTTTTTTTTTTTTTTTGAGGTACTGGGGAGTGAACCCAGAGCCTCATGTTTGCTAGGCAAGTGTTCTACCACTGAGCAACACCTTCAGCCCTGGACTAGGATTTGAAGGTCAGGTGTTTCCAGAATTTCATAGAATGGAGACCAGTGTGGAACAGCATGAGTATAGGTCCACTCTACTTCTCTTAGAGGCCCTGCATGAGCATTCTTTCTTTAGGGACCTTTTCCCATGTAAGCTGCAGATGAGGACTAACCCCCAGATACTGGCAATTCTGCTCTTTGCTCATAAGTGTTTGTTCATGTGTATTTCCATCTCACCTTTCCAATGCAAAATGGCAGGCTGATGTTAGGTATGCCAGTTGTTGCTTATTGCCCTCCCTCCCTCCCTCTCTCTCTCTCTCTCTCCCTTCTTTCTCTTCATTTCCTTTTCCCTTTCCTTCCTTTCCTCTGTTTAATCTTTTCCCTTCCCTCCCCACCCTGTTCTCTCTGCTCTTCAGGCTTAAATCTCTTCAAGCCCAGGAGGATGCTCGCCATAGGAACTCAGAACCTAGGCGTACAGACCAGAGCAGAGAACAGAGCAGAGACCAGATCAGACCTGAGCACCGCAGTTCCTTCAAGAGGGGCTCAGAGAGAAGGAGCTCTGATCAGAGGAACTCGGAGCCACGCTCTGAGCAGAGGAACTCGGAGCCACGGACCTTGGAGCAGAGGTGCGCAGAGCAGCGGAACTTAGAGCAGCGGTGCGCAGAGCTGCGGAGCTTAGAGCAGCAGCGGAGCTTGGAGCAGCGGTGCGCAGAGCAGCGGAACGCAGAGGTGATCTCTGACTATGAGAAACAGCTCCGAAACCTGAAGGATGAGATTGCTGTCTTGTCTGCTGAAAAAGCTGGTCTTCAAGGAAGGTCTGACAAATTCTCATTGATCTTTTCATTTGGCTTTTTTTTTTTTTTCCCTCGCTGAGCTAGTAGTAAAAGTGCGAAGTTGGTGGAGTTGGGGACTACAATGACCCTGTAAACCCAAACTGCAACAATTTGGGAAGCTTTGTCTTATAAGGGGATCATTTTCTTTCTGCACTCTTCCAGAGAGAGAAAACAACTCCTGGATTGCTAGTAATTTCCCTTCAATGGGGAAATATGGGGAGGGTGGTTGTTTACTTGGAACCAGGCTGTGTGCGCTGGTCAGGTGAGAGGTGCCTGAGTTGAAAGGATGTTCATGATGTAGGGGTTCTTTTCTCTGAGGTCTAGGACTCTTCTCTCCAGGGACAGCAGTCTGCATGGTATTTTTTTCTTAAAATTTTAAAAAATTTGTTCTTTTTAGATATACGTGACAGTAGAGTGTATTTTTTAATATTTATTTTTTTATTTGTAGTTGGACACAATACATTTGTTTTATTTATTTATTTTTATGTGGTGCTGAGGATTGAACCCAGGGCCTCATACATGCTAGATGAGCGCTCTGCCGCTGAGGGAGTATAACTTATCCTAATTAGGATCCCATTCTTGTGGTTATACATGATGTGGTGTTTCACTGGTTGTGTATTCATATATGAACATAGGAAAGTGATGTCTGATTTCATTCTACTGTCTTTCCTATTCCCATCCTTCCTCCCTTCCCTTCATTCCTCTTTGTCTAATCCAATGAACTTCGATTCTTTCCTTCCCTACCTTTATTGTGTGTTAGCATCTGCATATCAGAGAGAAATTCTGCCTTTGGTTTTGGGGGACTGGCTCATTTCACTTAGCATAATAATCTCCAGTTCCATCCATTTGCCAGCAAATGCCATAATTTCATTCTTCTTTATGGCTGAGTAATATTCCATTGTGTGTGTGTGTATGTATGTATATATATATATGTAATATTTTCTTTATCCATCTGTTGAAGGGCATGGTATTTTTTTTCCCTATGTCACATGATGGGTGGTGTGTATAGGTTAAGTATTATGAAATCCTTTTCCACTAAAGGGCAGGTGTGTTGAGGTGGGTCATTAAGACAGTGTGAGATGAAGACACAGAAGCATGTTGATTTTGGGAGTCTCCTCATCACTTTTATTTTTTCTACCCCCTCTGCTCCAGGCTCCCAGCATGCTCTAATTCAGGCTATTGAAACATCATCCTTGCCTGTACCCATTTCCCTAAATGACTCCCTCTGTGCTGTCCTGGTGCTGATGTGTACTTGCTCCCTGGAACCTGTTCCTTTCTGCCATGGTAGGGGCATCTTCACCCTGGAAATTAGCAAACATAAGGCCTTCTCCACCCCTTCCGATAGCCTGCCAGTCAACACTGACAGCATTGTACAGTTTCTCATGTAAAACGTCCCTTTTCTGGGGCCATGTCCTCTGGATTAGCTGGTTGATAACTTCACTTCCTATTGGGTAGCAATCCAGATTGTCCCACAAGGCTGGAGCGATGTGCTCCTGTGGTGTGTTAGTATTCCAGGGTCAGAGTCAGAAACACCCACCTCTGACTTCTCCTCTTGAACTCTGGCTCTTGCTAGCTGTGTTCCTTGAGGATGGTCCTTTAGTTTTTTAAAGCTTCAAGTTCCTTATGTGTAAAATGGCCAAGAAGCAGAGCTGACCTCACAGGGTTGTTTCAAGGATAGACGTGCCACACTAAGGGGAGTGCTTTATAAATCCCAACTCACTAGGCAGATATGGAATATTTCTTCCAGTAATTTCTTAGTTGGGGTGGCCTTTGAGACTGGGGGGAAGGTCATTCCAGAGAGCCACTTGACCTCCCTTGGAGGGTTGGGTGTGTCATTTGCAGTTGATGTGGGGAGAAGAACCGGGAACAAGCAGAGGCCAGGGACTCAGCGTGTCCCACCTGATTCCTCCTCCTCCACAGGGCACCCAGGAGCCGGTCTCCTAGCCCTGGCCCACGCAGCCGCAGCCACAGCCGCAGCCACAGCCACAGCCGGAGCCACAGCCGGAGCCACAGCCGGAACCACAGCCGGAGCCAGAGCCACAGCCGCAGCCAGAGCCGCAGCCGCAGCCACAGCCTCAGCCACAGCCCCAGCCACAGCCCCAGCCGGAGCAGGTCCAACAGCCCCAACAACAAAATCGCCAAGATCAGAAGCACGTCCCCAAACGGTGGTTCCAAAATGTCCAATGTGGCACGCAAAGCTGCTCTCCTGTCCCGATTCAGCGACGCCTATTCCCAGGCCCGCCTGGATGCCCAGTGCTTGCTGCGGCGCTGCATCGACAAAGCAGAGACAGTGCAGCGGATCATCTACATCGCCACTGTGGTAGGTGACACTCTGGTGGCCAGACTTGAGCTGTCCTGGGTGCAGTGCGGGGAGACATTTAGATAAAGTGAATGGTACAACTTTAAAGGGACTTGTGCATCTTGAGGTCACTGAATGGGGGCATTCCGGTCTCCCCTTCTGTCCCTTCCCTCTCCTTCACTCCTTCCTTTCTCCCTCACTTCCTCCCTCTCTCCCTCCCTTGTTTCATTACAAATATTCCGGGGTGAATTCCTTTTCACGACAATAACTGTTCATATGCATTTATTAGTATTGACCGATTTGTTGAAGAAGTGTCTTTTCAATGGGTATATACTAAGTTGATTAGCACTGTAAATCAACTTTGTCTAATATGATCATAGGAGCACGCACGCACACACACCCTCTCTCTCTCTCTCTCTCTATATATATATATATATATAGAGAGAGAGAGAGAGAATCAATCACTGCAAATGACTGTTGCTTCATTCATTTACTTCAGGTCTAAACATCAGAAGTTGCAATTGTGTCAACTCTTCATTTATTTAATGAAGAGTAGTTAATGAAACTGCTAATACACCAGCTTGCTTGAGTAGGGCAGATTAAAAACCTATAGTCCTTGGTTTCCAAAGTAAATACATTTGTTCAATGGGTTGTTCAATGCCATACTGAGATACTAAGGGTCTATTATGAGAATAATTAGATATAAAAAAGAAAATGTTGCTATGACAGCAGAATTGTCCAGAATCCTGTCTATTCATTTATATCAGAGGTCAGTACACTATGGCCTGTGGACTATACCTGGGCCTGGCTTGTATTTCTATGAGAAATTCTGCCCCAAAACTAAGAATGTAAGAATGAATTTTACATTTTTACATTTTTAAAGAATTGTAAGGGAAAAAATGTGAGAGACTGTAGGTAGTTTGAAAAACCTAAAAGATTTGTCTCCTCATACAAAAATTTTTTACCAACCCTGGTTTTTATAATTAAGAATCACTGAGTTGGTTATAGCTGTGCAAACATAGAGGCTGGGTCTCTTTTTTGTAACTGAGTTTTCCCTGGGCCTACTATATAAAAGGTATTTAGAAAGATTTATTGAATTAATATGTAACAGGAAATATGCATGACAGTGTGCTTATGTAGGGAATGAACTCTAGACTGATAGTTTTCTCTCATTCTCGGCCAGTGATATGCTATTGTAGTGGGCTCATGGTAGAGGACCTCTGTCCTTAAATCTGTACTATCCTGCTTCACTGCACTCAGAAAGACCAGAACAGTGGCTAATGCTTGCAATTAGTGAATGTGGGCTGTTATGTATCTACTTGCATGCTTTTCAAAATTGAGAGATGTTATTTTCTATCATATTAAAAACATTTCCATCAACTGTGTTCAGGTATCTGAAGTCTAATATGATGTGGACTTTGTTATTCTCTTGAATTCATTTTTTTGAACTTATTTACCCTCCTCCTCTTATTAGATAATAAATGTGCTGTGTTTTCACATGCAGGAGGCATTTCACGTGGCGAAAATGGCATTCAGACACTTCAAGATCCGGGTGAGGAAGACATTAACACCAAATTATGGAGGGTCGAATGACTTTGAGAATGCTGTCTCCGAATATATCATTTGCCATCTTGATCTGTATGATTCCGTTAGCAGTGTTAACGTAAGTGTTGGGTCTCTTGTTAGAACTGGCTTGTGGTTGATGACATTTGCAATGGAGATTCATAATTCAGGAACTTGTTAGCATTTGTATTGCTTCCAGTTAACAGAAGAAGGAACAGCATTCAGTTAGTCTTGTAGCACTAGTCACTTCTATTTTTTTCTTAGAAATTTTATGGAAAAAAATGTCCTGAGCTTCAGAGTTCTGTTCTTCAAGTGGGGCCCTAAGATTGGGAGGTAGAATATCATAGTTCTTAAGAGGAAGGGATTTGGTAAGTAAGGATGGATTTGCATACTGACCCTGCCACTTGACTGCGCCATGTGATATTACATGTTTACATAACCTTTCAGGGCTTAGATTTTCTAACCTTTAAATGGAAACAACAATGATTATTACCCCACAGAGTCATTGAGAGGATTTAATGAAAGAAAGCGGATCGTTTGCTTAGCACAAGACTTTGCACATAGTAAACACTCAATAAAAGCAAGCTATTTTAATTATTCTTATGGATTAGGAATACGTCAGACTTCTGTGTTGGCACCTTATACACTTACACAGCAAAGAAAAATAAGAAAATAATTTAAGAATCCATGGACCATTTTCCCTCTTAAATTTTGGGCCTTCAGCATGTCATTTGTGCTCTGTGTATCTTTCCTCCTTCCTTATCAAAGAGTGACAACATCCTTCTTTATGTAGCACCTATACTGTTTTTCTGGCTTATTTTCACTGAAACCCTCCTTTCCCATCCCCCATTGGGACTAGCTGATGTTAGAGTCCTCAGGGTGTCAGAGTGTCTTGTCACAGGTTGGCCACCAGATAATGCCATTTTTTTTTTTTTTTGGTTTTGTTTTTCAGGATGTGATCCGTGCCATGAATGTCAACCCCAAGATCTCGTTCCCCCCTGAAGTTGACTTTTGCCTTCTCAGTGACTTTATCCAGGAGATTTGCTGCATCGCCTTTGCCATGCAGTCCTTAGAGCCACCCCTTGACATTGCCTTTGGGGCGGATGGAGAAGTTTTTAATGACACCAAGTAAGAGACACAGGAGCAGAAGCTAAGGGATCCCCCTTAATAACTGCCTTGCTTCTGTTCCTGGGAACAGTGCCGGGGAGGGGACTCCAGTGTATGTGTGTGTTGGTGGGGGGACGAGTAGACCCTCTGCTCTCCAGGGCCTGCTGTGGACTTCTCTGTATTTCTGAGCAGGCCCTTCCTGGGTTCATTCTCCACCAAACAGACTGGGCTTTGGGGAGAACTAAGGGTACCTGGAACCTGTCTGGAACATTTTAAAAGAAAGGTGCTCTATAAATGCAAATGTGTATTATTTTTTATTGGCTTTTATTGAATTATTTAGGCTAGGTTCCTCAAAGTACAGTGTGCAGTGTGCAGATCACTCAAGGTGCTTGTGCAAAACGCACATTCCTGTGCCACATTCCATGATACGCTGTTTCATGCTGTCCGTCTGTGGTGGAGCTTAGGAAGCTGCAGTTTAAAAAGTACCCAGTGTGCTTTGTGCACACTAAAGTTTGAGAGGATGCACTGTATTCTTATCTAGAATCAGATTTCTAAATTTTACATGACAGATATTCTCTTTATAAATTAAAAGATATTAAATTAATTTTAAACATTTATCGAGATTTGATGAAATTTTAGCTATAACTGGAGATTAATCTGGGAAGAGGCCAAGAACACTGATTCTGTCTTGGGCTGCCCGGGTTCAAATCTCAGCTCCACTTCCTGTTGGCTGAGTAGTCCTAGGCATGCTACTCCGTTTTCCCGTTCCTTAATTTCTTCTCTGTCAAAGGGGGAAATAATGATGCCTATTCCCTAGGAATAGAAGGATAGCTGAGGTCACTGCTGGCATGCTCAGGAAATATCAGCTCTGGGTGTTGTTGGAGTCACGGAGTCGGGGGGAAGGGGCTACCCAGGACTCTTGAAAGCATGTTGTTGAGGGAGACCACATACCTTTTGGGGGCTTAGGCAAATCACACCAGTGATTGGGCTTTCTGGTTGCCTTACAGCACAGCTTTTATCTGTTTCTAGTTTCTTTTAGGTCACCGATCCCAGCATGCCTCCACTCATGGAAGAACATGACATCACAGGTGGATCTTTCTGGTTCATTTACAGAGCATATATCATCATGGTCATGCACCTTCCTTTATTCCACTCTCCTTTGGAGGACAGACAGTAACACTCAAACTTTCACCCATTTTAGTTTGTAGAATTTGCCCATTTCCCAGACCGGTCTGCCCTCCCAGTCACAGGCCTTTAACCAGAGGCACCTCCTGCCTTTTTTGCTGGATGGCTGTCCAGTTAAAATCAGGATTCTGAACAAAGATTGGCTTTGTTTCTACCTTCAGCTCTCTGAATCCGCCAGGGTCTCCATCTGCAGATTCAACCAACCAGGGAATCATAGTTCATGCTCTGCTGAGTATTCATTTTAATGAAAGTGTCTGCAATTAAATATAGGCGAGTTTGAACTACCAGTGGAGGGGGTTAACAAACATACAGCCATTTTTCTTTATTTTCCTCATATTTAGCCTTAAAATATTGTTCACACATTTTGAGGGCAACTAAAACCTGCTATTTTATTTTTCTCATGTTGAGACTAAACCATGTTTCCTTTATTTGTTCAGTTAAATTCTCTTTAGACTCAGTTGCAGGACCTCATATACATTAACCTTTAGTTTATCGTATTAGAGCCAACTTATTTTTGTGGCCTCCTTGATCTATTTTTGTATAATCATCATCTGTTTTTCATTTCCTATCCTCCCCATCTTTGATCATGTTTCTGTTTGTACAAGTTGTTGGTAAACGTGTTGATGTATAGGATTAAAAGAGAACCTTTAATATCTTCAGTCAGGTTCTTGTTGATCCATTCATTATTCTTTGGATAGGATCATGGAACCAGTTTCCAGGCCACCTGCAGAAGTAAACCATCCACCTGTATTTCTTTTACTTTGTCCACAGAGACAGCATGGAGAATCTTATAGGAAGCCTATGGGACTTCAGGTAGTCTCATTTCCCTGTCTTGCGAATCTTACAATCCTGAGCAGAGAAGGAATAAGATTAGTCTCCAGGACTTGCTCTAAGTGACTTCCTGACAGGTCCTAGTTATCATTGGTTTCTATTTTAAGAGCCTGCAGCCATCTCTTTAATAACAGGATTGGGATCCATATTTACCTAGATCTAAGCATAATCAAAAAAGAAACTTCACACGCAAGGTTTCCCCCGATGCTATATAATTGCTTAACTTCTTTTTTCTGTTCTTTTGTGTTTACTGTAGGTACCGCCGTAGCTATGACTCGGATTTCACCGCTCCTTTGGTCTATTACCACGTATGGCCTGCTCTCATGGAGAATGACTGCGTCATTATGAAGGGAGAAGCTGTCACCAGGAGAGGGGCTTTTGTACGGTGGCCTTGCATAATGACAGTTCATCCCCAGTGTTTGATTCACAAGTTCGAGAATATTTATAAACCCAAAGATTCTATAGAAGAAGTTGATGAAGAGTTGTTTGATAAGATTTCATAAAAAGGAGAAGAAGATGGCCTTAGAAAAGCAGATTGTTTTTATTTATTCTTCCATCATTCTGCATTATTCCCTGGCAGTAAATTTTTTATTGCTCTATTTATAAGATGGAACTAGTCAAATTTACCTCTTCTTAGAGGGATTATGATATTTTAAGGGAAAACCCTTGAAATCGTCTTGTTTGGAGGCTTTCTATAATCCTAAGCATTTGAAAGTGATTAATGAACTTTCAGGAATTAATTTGACAATTTTTTACTGCTAAGTCTTCATTTTGGGAAACTATGTGCCATTTTTCTCTCCTTGGTATGACATGTAGAAAGGGGAGGGATGGAGAAAAAGGAGTCAGGGAAGAGGAACAGATCAGTTTTGGAAGATTGCTTTCTATATTCAGGGCTATACAAGTGCTAAACATATTAAATAATTTAACAGACTTCATAAGGGAATCCTGGGTGTCTAATTGTGTGAGCATGTGTGTGTTGTAGGAGGACCGGGTGCTGCAACTGGTGGCCACAGGTTCTGGGTTGTACATAGTTCATGGGATACAGTGTTGAACCTGGCCTTACCTAAAAGGGTTAATTCTAAAGGGAAACCCCTTGATCCAGAGCAAAACCATCATCTGGGTGGTCTCTGATTCGATTCTCTTTGAACTGGGCAATAGGGGAAGTGCCTGCCTCAGGCAGCATATAGTGAAGGGGAGGGGTGTATTTTATTTTCAAAGAACTTAGGAAAATGGTTTGTGTAGCTTAAAAAAAATCCCATTGTGGTGGATTATATCTTAATAAAATGTTTTGTGCTCTGAGAGTGGAGCTCATCAAAACTGGGTTTTGTTGATCTGACAGCTACATAAGCTCTACAATGATCTTATGAGAGCATAAGGTGTGCTTCCTGACCTCCAATACTGCCTCTTAAACACTCCGCTGCACTGCAGTTTGGCAGGGAGAGAGAGAGGAAGCAGCCACTGTACTCATATTCTCCACCAGTTTCCTTTATCCATCTTCCTTCTCTCACATCAACTATATCACCAACACTTGCCCAAGCTTAAACCTCAAAATCAAAAGATTTTGATTCCCCAAAAGGAAAAACTTGGAAAAGAAAAGGGTCGAGTTGAAAGAGAAATCTTAAGAAGGGATTTTACTTGTAGGATAAAATCGTTGTATTATTATTGAAACAATAAAAACAGCATATGGTGTAATATGTGCAATCAGATAAATTGGAGATACAGTTCTGGTCTTCATTCATTTACAGTTAGAGAGTCAATGTGCAACAGTGGTGTTTCATTCAGTGATATTTATTCAGTACTTATCTATGATCTGAGCAGTGGACTTAAATGCTAGGGGATTTGGCAATGAATAAAATAGACATAATCCCTGCCCACCTGGAGCTTATTTTCTCCAACACTTGCAAACTTAAACGGGGTTTCTAATAGTTTACTCTAAGAAATTTAAAAAAAAATCTAGTACCAAGAATCTGAATAACCCCAAGTTCATTTTAGCGTGATTTTATTTGAAAAATTATTGCCAAATATTGGGCAGTCATAGGAAATAAAAAGAATGTAGCCCATACTGGTGACCAGTCATGGGCAAGGATAATCCTGTTGGTAAACCTCTCGTTTCACGGGATATGCATGTTGTTTGAAGCCATGTCAGTTTTTGCACATTCTTTTGTACATTCTTAATTACTTACTTCTCTCTCTCTGTCTCTCTGTCTGTCTCTCTCTTTTTTTTAGTGGAATTCAGTGAGAGCTGTGAGTCGGTGTCGAAGCAGGAGTTTAAGTCCCATTTGCCCCCGTAACCGCATTGGTTTAAGCACGGTACTTATCTGTCTAATCATTTTTACACAAAATGCCTACAGCCCACGTTTTCTTTGCTTCAGCAGTCTCTTTGGTGATTGTAAGTCTATCATAGGTATAAAGAGAGCTTGTTGCAATATCACTAACCCTAAAGTGATTTTTATACTACTGTGGGCTAAGGAGTTTTACCATTCTAGAGTGAAGGAAGAGGAGGGTGGGTTTTTTTTTATTTTTATTTTTTTGGTATTTTTAATTAGTTCAAGCAATAATAGACTTTCCTTACGTAGTTTTATTATCTCTGATGTTAGCCATTAGATATCAGATAGCTTTCTGAAAAGAGAAGGAGATGCCTTGGTCAACTGATCTGGTCACAGGTCCCTGGTTCCTCTCACAATTACTGTGTGAGTTTGGGGAAATGGTTCATTTCCAATCCAAATCCAAATGGATCTGGATTTCATTACTTTATTGAAGGTATTTATTTGTCCCCAATTTCATAGTAGGAAAAATTCGTTTCTTTGTGTATTGATTCTTGGAAGAATTACTAACACTTTCATCAAGATAAAAAAAAGAACAGAAAAACATCTCTGAAAATTTTGAAGATAGCATCCCTATAAACATTATTACAACTCACCACTGTACATTTATTCAACAAATAATATTTAGTCAAGACTGGAGAAAGACATGTATATGTCAGAGAGGCTAACAATCATCTATTCCTTCAAACAGCATTTGTTTACATGTATGTTCAGCCTTGTTTTAGAAGAGAGCGGAGGAGCAGAACCACACTTGATAATGTTAGACGTCTCTGAAGTGTTCTTTAACATAGCAGGTGCAGCCCCAAAGGGGCAAGATCTCCTTGGCAACAAAACAAAACACAGCTAACAAGAGTCACCTTTCTCTTTTTAAATTATTTTGTAAAAATTTTAATTTGTTATATATGACAACAGAATGCATTACAATTCATATTATACATATAGAGCACAGTATCTCCGGTTGTACACCAAGTAGAGTCACATCTTCATATCTCCATACATGTAACCTAGTGAAATGATGACCATCACATTTCACTGTCTTTCCTACCCTCATCCTCCCTCCCATCCTCCTCCTCTTTTCTCGTTTGCCCTATCTAGAGTTCATCTAATCCTCCCATCCCCCCTACAGCATATTATGGATCAGCATTCTTAAATCAGAGAAATCATTCATCATTTGGTTTTTGGGGATTGGCTAATTTCACTTAGCATTATATTCTCCAGCTCCATCCACTTACTTGCAAATGTCATGATTTTATTCTCTTTTATTGCTGAATAGTATTCCATTGTGTATATATACCACATTTTCTTTATCCATTCATCTACTGAAGGGCATCTAGGTTGCTTCCACAGTTTAGCTATTGTGAATTGTGCTTCTATAAACATCGATGTGGCTGTGTTCCTGTAGTATGCTGTTTTTAAGTCCTTTGGGTATAGACCGAGGACTGGGATAACTGGGTCAAATGGTGGTTCCATTCCCAGTGTTCCAAGGAATCTCCATACTGCTTTCCATATTGGCTGCACCAATTTGCAGTCCCATCAGCAACATAAGGTTGTGCCTTTTCCCCCATATCCGTGCCAACACTTATTGTTGTTTGTCTTCATAATAGCTGCTATTCTGACTGGAGTGAGATGAAATCTTAGAGTAGTTTTGATTTGCATTTCTCTAATTGCTAGTGATGATATTGAAATTAAATTTATTGAAATTAAAGATGAGATTTTAAAGGCAGGGTTTTGGAGACATGAGATGACTTATTAAGGCTATGTAATAGACAATTATATCATTATTTTAGATTTCATTGATTATTATAATTATTATTTTCTGAAAAGCATTCATTTCAATATGGCCATTGAACCCAGTTTGTAACATTTTTTTCATATATTTGTTGGTTGATTGTATAACCTTTTCTGAGAAGTGTCGTTCAGTTCCTTGGCCCATTTATTGATTGGATTATTTGTTTTTTTGGTGTTAAGACTTTTGAGTTCTTTATACATTCTAGAGATTAGTGCTCTATCTGATGTGCATATGGTAAGAATTTGTTCCCAATTAGTAGGCTTTCCATTCACCTCACTGATGATTTCTTTTGCTGAGAAGAAGCTTTTTTAGTTTGAATCCATCATTTATTGATTCTTGATATTAATTCTTGGGATGTACAGGAGTCTTATTAAGGAAGTTGGGGCCTAATACAACATGATGGAGAGTTGGGTCTACTTTTTCTTCTAATAGATGCAGTATCTCTGGTTTAATTCCTAGGTCCTTGTTCCACTTTGATTTGAGTTTAGTGCATAGTGAGAGATAGGGGTTTAATTTCATTTTGTTGCATGTGGATTTCTAATTTTCCCAGCACCACTTGTTGAAGAGGCTGTATTTTCTCCAATGTACATTTTGGGCACCTTTGTCGAATATAAGATAACTGTAATTATGTGGATTGGTCTCTTGTGTCCTCTATTCTGTACCATTGGTCTACAAGTGTATTTTGATGCCAATATTATGCTGTTTTTGTTACTATTGCTCTGTAGTTTAGTTTTTTTAAAATAGTTTTTTTAGTTGTAGTTGGACACAATACTTTTATTTTATTTATTTATTTTTATGTGGCGCTGAGGATTGAACCCAGTGTCTCACATGTGCTAGATAAGCGTTCTTCCACTGAGCCACAATCCAGCCCAGACTAACCTTTCCTAAGGAGTTTAGCAAGCATCTTGTTTCTGCAGCTGGCTCCTTCTCAAACATTCCTTCTGTAACTGATAGATGTCAGATTTTGGAGGGACACAAAAACAACTAAGCATGATTAGTCTTTCCCTGAAAGGACCCCCATATAGGAAGATCAATATAATTTAAACAAATTAACTGAATGTAATCCAGTCTATGAAGCGGTACAGTCTGTAAAACAAAGGCCATGATAGTAAAATAAATAAATAAATAAATAAATAAAAGAGCTCTTTGGGGAGCTCTTTGGCTCTTTTAGAATGAGTAGAATTTCAATGGGCTGAGAATTGGGGAAAATATTCAGGGGAGGAAAATGGCCTAAGAATGGTGGGGAGGTGGAAGAGGCATGCATCTGTGTAATTTTGCTCTTGAGGATTTTAATATAACTTGATTACCTGTATTTCTGATTAAGTATTTAAAAAAGACATGCATGTAATGGACTGATAATAAAAGGAAAATAGTGAGAGCATTATACTGGGATAATCATAGTCTTCCCATTCCAAGAGGAAACTGTATATTAGAGGAAAGTAATGTTAGACATGTCTTGTGTGACAGCTGGGGCAGACTGTCACTCTAGACTCTGATTAGACATTTCATCCATGGACAGTGTCCTCCGTGATGAGCCCTAGACACGTCTAAACCTTCTGTTTCTTATTTTTGCTAAAGGGAACAAAGTAATTTGAACTTTAGACAAGGGAGTTAGAATGTATTCTCAAAGGTGAAACTTCTGCCAACATTCCTTCTTTTTCCATCAGCCTCTCTCTACAACAAAACTGGGTATATCTGCAAAATAAAATGTAAATATTTTTGGTTAGTCTGGCTTTTTGGCTTATTTGAGGTCATCCAGAACAGACTCTATCTTCCTTAGCAATCTATTTATTTAAAGTGTTGGACAACTCAGGGCAGGAATGATGCTTGCAGGCAGCGTCAGCTGAGAGTAACAGTGGTAGCTTCTGCTTATTGAAATTAAAGATGAGATTTTAAAGGCAGGGTTTTGGAGACATGAGACGACTTATTAAGGCTATATAATAGACAATTATATCATTTTAGATTTCATTGATTATTATAATTATTATTTTCTGAAAAGTATTAATTTCAATATGGCCATTGAACCCAGTTTGTAATTAATACTATAATTTAAACCAAATTGAGTGCCCATTTAGTTCAAGAAACATAAAAGGACTCACAGTGGTCAGCCTCAGGGGAGAAATCATAGTTCTAAAGGGCCTCGGAGCAACTAATTAGATAGTTTTAGGGGGGAAAAAAAGAACATGTCAAAAGGGTTCATCCTTTGAGCTCTGTCTACTGTGTGGTTCACATTACACTTTGTCTTATTTTTCAGATATCTCGAAGTCGGAGTCCTTCTCCAATAAGATGTACATTGCCAAGTAAGCAGGATAGTTAAGACGGATTGAGTTTTCTGCTTTTGAATACTCTTCCTAGTACTCAGCTTTGTGCAGCACCATGAGTGTTTGGCTCTTTAGAGAATATCCCTTCCCTTCCTATCATCCATTTCTGGGTCCTCTCACTGATGGGACCCATGCCGGTCCCTGGAGTTAGACAGGAAGAGCCTCTAGTTGAGGGGTTTAATTGCTGTAAACCTAGATCAATCACCCCTTTTACGTTTATATACTTCCAAAAGAAAACTCTAAGGATCTGGCCATAGTGATGAACTGTTTGTTTTTCTCCACAGGGTTTTAAAACCACCACCACGGTTGGTCCTATGCCACCGCATGTAGTGCATCATTGCAGCCACCTTTCCCCTGGGCCTCCTGCTGCCTGCCTTGTCCGCCTCTGACTTCAATTAGCATGATGTGAACTGGCATTCTGTGTATCCCTCTACACACAGAGTTAAATGTTTTGGCTTAGCGCATCTGTAATTTTAGATATATTGCATTTTATTTTATTTTATAGATACAAATTCCATTAATTTCATAAAAAAAAACGATTGCATAGGCATTTAGGATCATATTCATTTGAAGCAAAGTCCATTACAAAGATTCAGGATTTCCATCTTGAAAATACTAGGTTCTTTTATAGCAACTATATGAACAAGAGTGCAAAGTCTTTAACATGCTGAATCCAAAAGAAAGGGCATTTTAGCTTACAGGTTGATCATACATGTTATAATTGTTAGTATCAGCTTTTAACCTGAAAAAAAAAATGGGTGCTCTAATTGCATTTTAAGGTTTGGAAGACAACACCAATCATATTAGTAGCAGTGATGTCAGATTAAGTGTAACCTGTAATAATTTAAAAGTATGTCACTTTGTTGGTTTGCTTTTCTGTTTTTGCTTTGAGAGTTACCCATTTTGGCTTTGTGGAGTACCAAATGTGGAAGTCACTTAGTTGAGAGGTTTCTTGCTTCATAAACACAGAGCAGTAATTTGATTAGATGCAGCTTTGAGATAAATGTTGATCACCTTGCATTATCTACTTAGAAATGTCTTAAACAGTTTAAATGCACATGTTAAATATACAAGTTACCTATGGGACCTGTTCATTACCTATTCCACCTCCTATAAACTCCAACTGACTAAAAATACTAGAACTTAAGAAGTAAAACTCAGGGCATCATTTATCTATTTTAAATTGGGCTTTTCTCATTGACTTGTTCACTGTGAAGTACTCTTGAAAGTTCACATTCAAGACAATAAGGAACTGTGATTTCTCTAGAAGCATGATGTTTTTTCTGCCCTGCCTCCTCTTCTCAATCCACCCTGACACCTGAGCCCTCACCATTGACTGCAGTTTCCATATACCTTTTAGAGAGAAATTTTGAATTGGACACATCTTAGTTTGCTGAAGTTCAGTACCTGATGCTTTTCAGATGGGCAGAACAAAAAAACTTCTCTAGAGCATCTTGACACCCTGTCCTGGGGGTGGGGGGATTTCCTTAGTCTCTTTTCTTTGAGTCCAATGGCCACTGGATCTCTCTTGAGGTGTGAGTTTAATTTTCTCTCTTTGTGCATTTATGCCATCACCTTTTTGAGATCTCGTGGTGTGTTGGAAGGAGCACTAGGTGTCCCCTAGGTAGCTCCTAGAATCCCTCCGGTCATTAGCTTGCTTTGTGGGCTTGAGCAAGTGATGTCATCTCTCTGAACCTCAGTTTCATTGTAGAGTGAGAGTGCTGGATGAAATTAGAGCTTTTTTTAACCCTGTCAGGCTCAATCCCTCTTTTATAGCAAATATTTTATTCTGGATATCCTGAGATGAAAGCCAAAGTTAATATAATCCATGTATACATAGAATTTTTACGTTGAATATAGTACCCCAAACTGTAAAATAAAACAGAGGGAAAGCAAACTAAATTTAATAAAATGTCTTTAAAAATTTAAAAAGAATGGGTATAGTTACCCTGGAAGATAAGGTGTTTGATGCTTTTATGCAATATCTGCCTGTGGAATCCCTAGCTACAGCTGCAGATTGATGTGTGTTGTGTTGGCAACAGAAGATGTATCTAATGTTGTCATTAGATACAACTTTCTGAAGTGGAAGGGTCATATTAAAAGGTACAATTAGTTGGCTTGCTTGGTAATATTTTGAACAACAACAACAACAAAATAGTCTTGCTTGACTTACACAGCAAATTTCACTCCTGGACAATTTATTGTATATTAAAACCATGCAATTAGTTACTTTGTGTTATGTGTTGAAAAGTTTATTTTTTCTAAAGTCTAAGCAATGAGAATGCCTATGTGCCATAATTTCTTTTCAGGAGACAGATGTATACTCTAATTTGGAAAAAAGTCACATAACTCAATTATTTGCTTTTGGTCCTGTCTGGCCACTTTCCATTTCTCAAGTTTCTGATTTGAACTCTAACTACAGAGGGAAAGTGGAATAGTCTAGAATCATTTTTGGAAAGAATTCGTGAAACCAAAGGAAGCTGATCTGGACTTATTTCATCTGGGTATGTGACTTAACTTAGAAACACTGAAAATGAAAAAAAAATTTTTTTTTTACCCTGGGTAAATGTTAGTTTCTATATTATTGGTTTAACATCTAATAATAAAATCAATAAAAATGCTTTTTGTAATTGTCAGTTCTTTGCAATGAAGCGCTCTCCTCTCAGGTTGCAGGTTAGTGATGTCCTTTACCATCTCCAATCTGTGAGATCTTGTTTTAGTCAGCTTTTTTGCTGCTATGACTAAAAAGACCCAACCAGAACAATTGTAGAGGAGAAAAAATTTATTTGGGGGCTCAAGGTTTCAAAGGTCTCAGTTCCACAGACAGCAGGCTCCATTCCTTGGGGCTTGAGATGAGGCAGAACATCATGGCAGAAGAGTGTGTCAGAAGGAAGCAGCTCACATGATGATCAGAAGAGAGAGAGAGAGAGAGAGAGAGAGAGAGAGAGAGAGAGAGGGAGAGAGAGTCCATTCACCAAAATATTTGCCCCAAAGGCACACCCCCAATGACCTCCTCCAGCCACCTGATCTGCCTTCAGTTCCCACCAAGTTAATCCCATCGGGGGGTTAATCCACTGATTGGGTTAAGGCTCTCATAACCCAAGCATTTCACCTCTGAATATTCTTGTACTGTCTCACACATGAGCTTTTGGGGAACACCTCACATCCAAACTATAACAGGCCTGAACCATGACCATATTCATTCAGAAAATAATTGACTGCACCCTGCTCTGAGGTTGACCTCTGGATTACTGCAATTCCATACCATACCTTAATTGCTAATTTACTATTCTTCACAGATCCTTCTCACTCTCCAGACTCTTTTTCCGTGTTCATAAGTTTTCATTTAAATTGCTTCAGTTTCCCCCCACAACACCTCGGTGTGGCTTCAACCTCACAGAGATGGAACCTGTTCATCCAACACACTGCATTCTTGTTTCAGTCTCTTGTTTAAGAATAAGATTCAATCTGTTTTATTTTGTTCCTTCATGTCATATGGTGATCTTAATTTGATTTGTTCATCTACTTACTCATACGCTTACTGAATACCTCCTGTGTGTTAAGGATGTAGGAATGGACAAAGTGCTGGTTTTTATGGAGTTTAATGTCCTGTCCATGTGCATGCCACGATGATTTTCTTGTCATAGGGAGTAAGTATGAGGGGGGCAAGAAATGGCTTCAAGAATCCAGCAAATGCAAATGGGAAATATTACACAATTGAAGGATTCAAAAACATTAATTCATCAAGCAAAGATCTCAACAGAAAAACTTACCAAAATGAAGAGTATAAGAATACTGTGACAAACTCAAGAGAATATGACTCAATTATGTCATCCACAGATGATTGAGCTTATACTCCTGGCAACATAATAAAATGAGGTGGGGAGGGAAGAAAGGAAGAGCTCAGAAAAGATCAGTTCCAACACCTCCCATTACCACAGATGTGTGTTCCATCTGCTGTATTCCTAAGTAACAGGGCCATTTTGCAGACCATTCTAATTTGCTTTTGAGAATACCACAAATCCTGTGAGAGGAAGGTCATTGCCAATAGCATTCTACAAAGTTAAAGTCAAGTGCAAGTTTTCTTAATAGTATTGCTTTGAATAACTTCATACCCATCATCAAGGATAAGATGTTATGGAGCTTTTAAGAAACTAGCATTACAAACTGCATTAAGTCATTGACATATGATCTCAGGAACCATATGGGTAAGTGACATTTAGTATATGCCATTTAAATACCAAAGCAGTGAAGTGTGTTGACCCTTGAAAATAAGACAGGGACTCATTAATTCAAAATAAAACACGATAGAACAATTTCACACTTAAAAAACTGCTTGCTGGGGATCATCAGGTACATCAGACGTTCCATGGTATCACTGGCAATTGCCCATCACAACTGGATAGCTATTTCTACTTTCTTTTGGGTGAACAAGGAATCTGTATGATATATGATTTGCTTCAATATGGTTGAAAGATTTTGGAGGGTGGTAATGCTGAGGATTGAACTCAGGGCCTTTTGCATGTTCTATCACTGAGCTACATCCTGAGTCTGAATCATTTAACATTTTATTTGATACAAATGAAATAGTGAATTGAAATATGGCACAGAATATATGTTAGAAAAGCTATTTGGTGGTTGGACATTGGTTAGAACTTGAGGATCCTTTGATGAATCAGACTGTTCAAGGGATTTCTGCTACTGGGATGCTGGGGCAGGGGACATCACATCCTTCCTATTTCCTTCTATCTTCATGGATCAGGGAGTAAGCTTCACAGCCATATCTTAGAAGAATGAATTCCAGGATTGGCCCAACTTGTGGGTCAAGAGTTTGAAGTTGGAATGGAGAGAAGTGATGTATTCGTTCATTATCCATTCATTTAAGAAGCTTTTGCCTTTGTTTTGTTAAATGGTGTTCTAGGTACCTTGAAGCCCCACAGACGGACGCAGTGGTAAATAGGCTTTCAGTTGTGAAAGGGGATCCTTGGCACATCTTGGCAGTGTGTGCCTTCAGGCTACAACTGTGGTCTCTGATAGTAGGGGCGAGACTGTTAAGGATGTCTGTTTGGGAGATCATGTTAAGAACCTCCTGTCAATAGTGAGTAGGGTCAGTGTCTTCCCTGACACTGTCACATGGAAACCTGGGCTCACTACTCTGTGATACTCGTTCAGGCATCAGACAGAGGCTGTCCCAGCTCTAGTGAGTGAATCTGAGGAAACACAGGTGACTATGAAAATGGCAAGAAGGATCCAAAGGAATTTGCACTCATCCTTGGAAAGGTGGCCTTAATTAGAACCAGAGCAGACACGGTCAAGGTGGAAGCCTCTGCTTTCTCCAAGGACTGGGTGCTCATTTTAAGGAGCCTTCCCCGCCACCCACACATTATTAGCAAGTGTTTGATATTTTCCTTTTTAGACCTTGCTCCAGCTGAAGACTTTGAAGGATGTTAGAATGGGAATGACTTGGAGCACTAGACCCCATAATAGGGATGAGGTT